ATGCTATTTTCTCTTAACATCCATCACAAAATGGATGTGGCTAGAAGAGGGCTCTGGGAAATACATGTCCTTAAAATAAAAACAGTTTTGTTTTATTTCCCTGTTGTTTCCTCCAGTACTATAACTTTAATGGGAAAATGCCACACATCACTTATGACTACACTGTACCGCGGACGCCACCTCTCCAAACTGCAGCCCCTGCTGTAGACAGACCTCTCTATCATCACCTACCAGAGACCAGCCAGAACCATCCCATTCCAGCCAACTCCAGAGTTGCCCAGGACTTCAATGCCACATGGCTCTCCTTGTTGCCAGCTGACACCAGCGAACAGCTTCCTCTAAGAGAAGGGCATGAAGATTTAGGCTTTGGTCACCCGCACTTCTTCCAGACCAACTCCACCAGTCAGACTCGGGACTGGGGCTGGGAACAAGGTGAAGAGAAGGAAAAGTATGACTTCCAGATAAGACAGGTCTACCATGCAAACACAGCAGGAGAGGAAGAGGAGGAGAAAGCAGCGGCAATTGGTGGAGAAACAGAGTTGGGTTGGTTGCTGCTTTTCCTTCTCTCCCATTTTATTCATTGAAAGCGGACATCCCACATCGATGGTCTTGAAAACTAAGGTGGCCTTACCATCAGGGCAGACAGGAGGGAAAGATGAGTAATAGCAGGGTGGAGACTGTCAGGGAGCAGCAAGGGCCAGTAGCTCCATAAGGGAAAGGGAGCTGGGAGAGGGTGGCCACCGTCAGGCAGGGCAGTCCCATGGCATCTGAGCTTGGCAAGCAGGGCAGTGACAGCAACAGCTCCTAGCAACTGCCCAGTGATCATCAGGTGAAAGCAAGGTGACAAGTCAAATCTGAGATCAATCTGGGAAAGCCAAACAACAATTCAGGGACAAAGTACACCTGCAGCGTTGCTTAGGCCAGGTCTGAAGGCCCAGGCCAGAGCCTAAAAGAAGCTCCTGAGGAATGGGCAGAGAGTGTGTGCGAGGTTGGTCAGGGCAATTAAGGCCTGTTGGTGCACCCTGGTGGCAATTTATGATTTGGCCTCAAGGCCAAATACTCAAATGTTTTTTGCCTTGTTAGATACCACATGCTGAAGTATAAGCCATCCAAGGTAATTAAAGCATCCCTGTATTTTTCCTCCAGCTCTCAGGTTCAATCAGATTTCCATCAGTACAGCTGTACCCTACAGCATGAGGAGATCTGAACTCTCAGAGAACAGCCGCATAGCATCCTCCAGGCTTCGTCTCTTCAGGCGACTGTGTCACCGAGACCCGCACAACACTGCCTTCTGTAGGGAGCTGCAGCACCTGGCAGCCAGGCTGGCCCCGAGGAACTCCACAGCAGGACTACGGACTGAGACGGCAGCCTGGTGGCCACAGGGCCTCCACAAAGCACCGGCCCGTAAGAACTCACTGGAGGACTTGAAGGTGGAGGCATTTGCTGGGAGTCAGGGGGAAGCAGCCAACTACAGCGTGGTGGCATCTGTGGAAAGCCCTCTGCTAGGTGCCAGCCCAACCGTGGACATCAGCCAGGCAGAGCCTCTGCAAGCCCCTGGCACTGAAAGGTGGCACTTGATTTCCTGGGCAAAACAGGAGCATGGTTAGCTGGGGAGGGAGGGTCAAGCCAATCCTCTGGTAATCTCACTGCTGTCCTTGATGTCCCCATTCTCCAATGTCTATCCATGCAGCTGCTGTAGGTGCTTGACCAATGGTGTGTCCTCTAAAGACTGATTGGCACAACTGGCCTGACACAGAGCTCCCAGAATGTATTTCGTCCCTGCCTCTAAGGGATCCATTTAAATGGGTTCTGAAGGACCTGGCGAGCCAACACTAATGTGATTGTAAAGAAAGCCAGGAGTCTATAGCAGGTCGCAGACACACATTTACCAGCACATCATGCCCCTTCTGTCCCATTCTTCTGGGCACACATGCCTCTGTAACTTCAATAAACATTTGGCAGGTTAACAAGGGCTGACTTTTAAACATTTCTGGCAAGCCACATGTGACCTCTCCCACCCCATTATATGATAAGAGGAACCTTGCTTGAGCTCCCCTTTCCAACCTAACATCATACCTCTCGAGGTGATAGCATGAACTGAGGCTGAGGGCACCCGTGTGTTCAAAAGACTGTAATATAGACAAGGCTCACTATGAACGATGCCTCCTCTCAGAGGATGGCTTTTCACAGCCTTGCTAGTTGAATTCAGGAGGTGGATCAAGGCTTTACACTCTGTTCATCAGTGGTCCATCTTGCCCAAGGTGGGGGAGATGGAGGGTGGAAGCACTGTGTTTCTTCCCGTCTTCAAAGACAGTGAAGAGGAAATTCACTATATTTTATCTTTGCAGCCATTTTTCATTTTTAGCTCACGCTGCCTCCTTTTTCCACAGCAATGAGTTTGAAGTGAGCCCCATGGGCCATGACGACATTAGCTTGGCTGACATGTATCGGTGGAAAGTCTCAGCTTATGCCCCCTGCAGCTCCACATGCACTTCAGGTAGGTTTGGCTTCAGGTACTGATCATGTGAGGTCCTTTTTGGCTGTTGATGGAGAGATTACTGGTATTTTTTAAAATGGCAGGTAGAGTTTCAGATGCAGTGAGCACTCCAGTAATTTAATCATGGTGGGAGGAGGCTTTTGGATCTGATGGAGTCTGACAGAGAGGGTCTTTATTGCCCAGCAGGTATCAGCACCTCCTATGCGATGTGTGTCCGGTACGACGGAGTGGAAGTGGATGAAACGTACTGTGATGCCCTAACCCGACCAGAACCTACTCACGAATTTTGCACAGGGAGAGACTGCCAGCCTAGGTGAGTGGAAAAGACATCAGCTGTCTGTGGGGACAACATATCTTTGTAAGGATCATTTTTCTGCTCAAAGTATACAGCCATTTCTGGGCTGGAAGATACGCTTCAACAGCTAAGCCCTTGTATCCCCTTGTAAGCAAAAAGAGGGAAGGAATTTGCTGCCTAAATTGCCTGCTAAGGGCAAAGTTGGCTTTCAAGACCAGCGTCGCCTTACCACAGACATATGTGATGAGCAGAATCATAGCAGCAGCAACTGGGTGAGGGAGTCCCAGGTGTGCAGGCACTCCCCAGCCATCCCCTGTCCCTTGTCCCCCTTACCTGGGTTTTCCTTTGTGCTTTCTCTCCTGGGGACTGCTCGTGGAGGTGGGAGACGAGCCGGTGGAGCGAATGCTCCAGAACCTGTGGTGAGGGCTATCAGTACCGCACTGTGCGCTGCTGGAAGATGCTGGCTCCAGGCTTTGACAGCTCCGTTTATGACGACCTCTGTGAGTCAGCTGGGCTGGCCAGGCCCATGGAGAGGAAAGCCTGCAAGAACAAGGCTTGTGGGCCCCAGTGGGAGCTCTCCGAGTGGTCTGAGGTAGGCAGCAGGGGAGCTTTGCTCTCAGAGGTAAGCAGTCGGAGCTGGGCTGGGGCCTGGAGGAAGGTGGCTGGCAGATGGTGGGTGCTGAGGAAGCCCCTGGCCAACTGCATCCTGGGGAAACAAGGACTGCCATTACTCGCCGCTCCCGTGTTCTGGCACTGCCCAGCGAACAAAGGCCATTGCAAAACATTTTTTCTAAGGTCACTTCTCAAGCAGGATGGTTGACCAAATGAAAGCCCTGTCAGCAAGAGGCTTTGCTTCCCTCTTCCCAAGGATTTAACTAAGGGCAGATGGGGAAACAGCATGGAGACATAGAGGAGCTAAAACCCAGCCGAAATCCCTTTGATTAACTTCCCACAGCCTCCTTGGGAGTGGGACAGTGGAGCTGCCCAGTGACTTTGAATAGCAGTCCAGGCCTCAGCATCTTGGAGCATTGAAGCTCTAGGACCCAAAGTAATTAAGCAGCAGAGATAGAGATGGACCCTCCTTTTTCTGTCCCTGCTGGGGCTGTTACCCTCTCCCCTAGTGCAGCAGGAGTAAAACGGGAGAAGGCATAGCTGCCTTCCTCACCTTTGCTCGTCCCCCTTGTTCTCTGCTTCTGCACCCCTGGGACTGACTCTGCATGGCTATTGCAGTGCTCGGCCCGGTGTGGCACGCAGGGGACGATGAAGCGGGAAGTGCGCTGCTCGGTGGAAGCACCCGTCTGCGACGAGTCCCGGAAGCCCAGCAGCGAGAAGGCGTGCACAGGCCCACCCTGCGACCGCCGCTGGACCACTTCGGATTGGGGCCCAGTGAGTCTGGAGGGTCTGCTTCTCCTTGAACCCGATGCCGGGGATGCAGGGCTGGCGGGAGGGAGCAGGGGAGCAGTCATGCTACTGCTCTCTTGGCCTTCTTCTGGCGGAGGCTCAGCTAAAGAAATCAGAATAAGCTGTATTTTTGCCTCTCCATGCTGTAAATTTTCATTAGCTGTGAGGTGAGCTCCATTCAATAATCTGGGAAGCTCACAGCACCTGGAGAATAGAAGCCCCTGACGAGATGTACCTCTAAAGACCCTTGGGATTCAGTGCCATAGTCCCAGTGGCAGGGGCTAGGCTCTGGACTCAGGTCTTCTGGCACCACTGACCTTGACCCCTCCACCTTCCTGCTTTCTGATGTGTCTAAATGCCCTTTACTCCTCCAAGTGCTCAGGTTCGTGTGGCGAGGGACGCATGAGCCGCTTCATCGCATGTCGCAACCTGGAGGGCAAAGTGATCTCTGACTCGCAGTGTGACCCAGCCACCAAGCCCCTGGCTGTCCATCCGTGTGGAGACAAGAACTGCCCCGCACACTGGGTGGAGCAGGAGTGGGACCAGGTAAAGCCAAACCCAGCCTTGTGTCCTCAGCCCTCCTTCCCACCCTGTATCCCACAGGAGATGGTGGGAGCCTGGCTCCCTTGGCAGAGCAGGATTGTGTGGTGTGACCTCCAACCAAGGAGCTGTACCCTCATCCTAGCTCCTTCCAGAGAGAGGGAAGGAGCAATAAATACCTCAGCTTGTCCCCCACCTTACCCTAAAGACCACCCCAAAGTTTGTGGCATTTGCTGCCTTCCCAGGGACCTCCATTGGAGGGCAGCAATGTCCTAAGGAAACCCTTCTCTTCTGCCTCTGGCTCCCAGCTGGCAGTTGCAGACACCTCAGCAGAGCTCTTTGTCCAGAACCTGCACTCAGCCCCACAAGATTTTGGTCCCACCATTAAAGAGAAAGCCCCAACAAATCCAGGTTCATCTCTGATAAATAATAGCCAGAGGTAAACCTGAACCACAGCTTAGATCCCTGCCCTGGAAGTCACATCCAGGCCATGACCGTATACTTGCCTCAGGACTCGTAGTCCGGTGAACATGGTCCAGGTGCCCCGTTCTGCCAAGCAATCGGTTTCTGCCAGTCTACTTCCCCTCTGTTGCTCAAGGCCTAGGGGCTCTGGGCTTCCTGTTACAAGCTGGTCCAGATCCCAGAGCACCCAGAAGGAACTCATTGAGTCAGTTGTAGGGTTTGGGCTTTGTCTTTGAAGTCTTGAGCAAAATAGGCATTCACAAAGCACTAAGGAAGAAGATCTCTAGGAAACCAGAGAAGCAGCCAAGCCCTCTCCCCTCCAACCGTAGCTAAACCTCTGTTCTCATTTTGCTACCCTTTATAACTGTTGACTGCATTCAGCTGAGTCTCCCTCCAGCACTGGTAATGAGCACAAACTGGTTAAACCTAGGGACCTGTGGCAGTCCTGTAACCCTATCCTGCTCTGGCCTGTGGTGCGGGTCACAAACAATGCTGCAGTGCAGTTTTTCAGCTGTGTCCAGGCTATTAAACTCACCTGAACTCTGAAAGATCAGCTGAGCTCCCTGCTTTTGCGTGTGCCAGCTTCTTTGCCTTTGCTGTGTTCTCGTGGCTGATCAGCTCTGAGTTCACAGGATGACGAGGGGCAGATGCAAGCCAGCTGTGCTGGCCCTGCTGTGGTGAAGAAGGGCACAAAGCAGTGAAATCTCAGACTGGCAACTGCATCCATGGGCATCAGGGAGCAGAGCGAAGCTAGAATCAGATCCTGCCTCCTGCTGCTTCTCTTGGTGGCATCCTAAGAGAGTGGGAGCTCCCAGCTAAGCCTGCGTAGCTTTGGGCTCAGCAGTACCTGTCCATGCCAAGCACCTGCAGTGCACCAGTCTGGGCCCCTTGGGCCCACGCAAAACTTGTCAGTACTCCAAGATGTAGGTTGCTACACGAATAGGCTACACGTTTTTTGAGCAACATAGATACACATAAGATAGAAACAGCTTCTTGTAGTCTTACCTTGGCTGCTCCAGCTCCCTTGTGGTAGCTGCTCTCAAGGCCAGCCAAGGTGAATTTGGCATCCCCAGTGCTGACTAAACGCTAATTACCAACTCCTGTCCTGGCTCCTTAAGAAATTCAGCTCCTTTGCAGACACCCTCCTGTGACCTGGGCAGCACTACCTCTGCTCGGCTGGTGTTAACACATGCATGAAGCACCTTGCTTCTGAGCAGGATGCCATCTTGAAGCTCTACAGCTGACGAGCATCGTTTGTTACCTGGCTGTTACGTTCTCTTTCCCAGTGTGATGCCAGCTGTGGGCGAGGAATGAAGACCCGGGTCGTCTTGTGTGCAGGCCTGGAGAACGGTGTGTACAGGGAGTACCCCGAGAAGCGCTGTGAGGCCTCTCAGAAACCTGAGGAGCAAGCTGCCTGTTTCAAGAGGCCATGTTCAACGTGGTTCACTACCTCCTGGTCTCAGGTAGGGCTCGGGGTGGTGGGGAAGAGGGAGAGGAGATCTCGTAACCCCTGGTTGGTGGAGCATGACCTTCGCTGAGGATTTCTAGCAGCCTGTTCTGCCGAGGGCTCTGTTAGGTCTCGATGGAACCATGAGCTCTGCTCTTCTGCAGATCAGGCAGCAGGTGGAGGGACTGGCACAACGGAGCTGGGGAAAACCTTAGAGCATGCGGATTATTGCCTCAAGCAAGAGCATGTACTGCACTGCAGGCAATACAGGCATGTCTCTTCCTCTGCCAGGAGTCAGTGTTCTGTCTTTCCCTGCTTTCCCTTGATTTTAACTGGTGAGCGTTTAGGGAATGGGAGGACAGGGGAAGCTGGGCCTGGCTCGCAGCAGCCATTTTCTCCATCTTCTATCACAGCATCAACACTCAAAGCAAACAATTCCGAGTTGCATTAAAGAGATGAAAGCAAACTCTCCCTTGCTCTGCCACAACCCTGACTCAGGGAGGCTCTCCTCCAGCAACAAAAGGGGAGCATAAGTTTGACATCAGTGTGGGATTTGACCTAAACCTCCTCAAGAACAGTCTCCAAAGCAGGAACCAGGAGGCCTCACTGGAAGAAAGAACTTGGAAACCACAGAAAAATAAAAAAATGCCTCTCATGATCCCTTTCCTCTCTCTTGGTCCCGACAGTGCAGCAAGACGTGTGGTGCTGGTGTGCGACTGCGTGAGGTGAAGTGTTACCAGGGGGAAGCACTGGCTCAGGGCTGTGACCCCGCTTCCAAACCAGAAGCCAGGCAGACATGCCAACTCCAGCTGTGCCCCACAGAGGCACCAGGTAAGTCTGGCAGGGCAGGGAAGGAGAAGAGCAGTTGGCAGCCCTGTCCAGCTCTGTCCAGCTCTCCGCTGGGGAAGCACATCTATTTCCTTTTTAATCCCTTCTGTGGATGCTTCTGCTCCCCAGAAGAAGATTGTGAAGACAAAGTGACGGCCAACTGCGTGCTGGTGCTGAAGGTGAAGCTGTGCTCTCACTGGTACTACAGGAAGGCTTGCTGCCGGTCGTGTCGGCTCAAGTCACCTTGACAGCTGCCAGGCGTACTTCCCTTCCAAGTACAGGGGCAAGAGCCCCGTTGGGCCAGACTTTACCACTTGAAGCCACCCCACTTGGCTTGGCTGTGGAGCCAGTCCCTGTAGACCAGCCTGCTCAGCGAGGAAGAATTCCTAGGACTTAGTCATCACCGTTCCTTCTCCACCAAAAGGATTTTACACAAGACAAACCACCAGTTCCTAGAAGGCTACTGAGAAGTGAGTTGGGAAGGCCTGTTCCTGCTGTCGTCATCTCTGAAGAGCTCTAGTCAGAGGCGGTGGGGCGCAGAGGCCAACCTGCAGCAGGGCACAGACGACAGCAGCCATCTCTCTGGTCTGCCCTGCAGGTTCTTCTACTACAAGGGCAACTTCCAAAACACACTGAAAAATTCTGTGTCACAATAAAGAGCTAAACTGTAAAACTGTGTTTTTAGGATGCATGTATCTAGGCCAGAGGCAAGGGACGAAGAGGGCCACAAGAGGAAGGGAAGCAGGAGCAGGAAGGGGGGGGGAGGAAAAAATCCTTGCAGCAGTACAGCTTCCAGGCAGCACCAGATACACCCCATTTTGCGTTGCCTGCCAAAAAAACAGAAACCACTCCTATTTTTGTATTTCAAAGTCCTCATTTATTTCTGACATGGTATTTGGACCCACAGCTGAGCAACAAAGACAGAGAATAATAATAGGAGAAATCTGAAGTGGAAAAAATCTGGGATCCCTGCCCTGTCCTGTTCCTCCACCATCCCCAAAAACCTTAAAACCCACAGTTGCATCTCCTGCGCTTCCAGCCCTTTCAGACTTACCCATTTCTGTGTGGCCATGCCAGGCCCAGGGCGTTGTGTTAGCCGTGAGGAGAACCTTCAGCTTGGCCAACCAGCTACTCTGCAACTGCCTCGCCAGCCTTAGCACCTCGTTAGCAGGCGGCAGGTCACGCTTAATTTGCATGTGATGAAGATGACGATGCAGTTGCCTTCCTTTCACCAGAAGGGTGACCCACAGAAGCACAAGACCCCTGTGGTACTCCCACCCTCCGGAGGTCACGGCCCGGCACGTGCTGCCGTTGGGGCGCGAAGCCTTGCTGCGTGCCAAGAGGTAGAGTTGGATGCTGGGAGCCACCGTGCCCGCGAGCTGGCTCTGCGCCCTTCGAGGGGATGGCATCGCAGGGCTATCTGGCAGAGCCGTGTGGGCGGCAGCCCGCAGGTCACGCTGGGACATACTAAGTTCTCATGGCTCCCAGCAGGATGGAGACCTAGCTGAGCAGATGCTCTAGTGCGAAAGGATTTATTGAGTGAGTTAGCCAAGATTTTTTTCCAATTACAGACCATATTTTCAGGGAGGAGTACTGGCTGGATGGGAAGCAGTAGGAGCTACGGGATATTGGCCAGTGGGATCCAGAGCGCTTTGCTGCTGCTGACTTTTGTCTTCCCTCCTGCCTGCCCTTAATGTGAGAGGACATTTAAAGACCTGCTATCGCTATTTGGAGAATGGAAGGAGACTCTCTAAAAAGAGATGCAGCTAGCCTGAGTCTGAGGATCATGGAAATGCAATGTCTTTCTGGGCCAGAGGTGGGGAGATGGTGCACAACGTCTGCCCAAAAGGCTGTGTAAAAGGCGGGCTGGGGCAAGGCGTTGGGTTACAAGGACCGTCACCACAGTTGGCATTCATCTGGCTCCTTTTCTTCGGGTAGTTTGAGCAGAGGTGCCAAGGCATGAGCAGGTCCAAAGTGTAAATTAGCCTTTCACCTGATAATGTAGACATCACGTAGCGTGCATCTCCATGCTGAGACCTACTTTTTCTGTGCATGAACGGGGAGATTAAGTCCAAATCCTGTGAGCAGTAGGATTATTTCTAAATTGCGGTGGTGGGAAAAAGAAAACAAAACCACTCACATTTCAGAGCAGTTGTACCCTATATTGCAAAGGCATGGCAAGCGTTTCCTGCCATTGCCTCCAACAGCATCCGCGTGGCTGCGAGGAATCGTTGCTGTCCGGGTCCCTCCTCCCTGCCATGAATGGGAAGCGCTCAGCCGAGCGGGCCTGCAGTGGTTGCTATGGAAGTGCCCGTGAATGACGGAGATGTCCTTTTAGTAATTTTTTCACCTAATTTGATTTATGGAGGAAGAAGGAACTTTCCCACATTCATTTTTGCAGAAAGGCAGAATCACTGGCTGTAATTACCAGCCGCAGAGCTGGTGAACCCAGGTTCAGGTCTTGCACCCTCCTCTTCCAAAAGCAAAAGTGGGGGGCGGTCCAATCACCTGAACATCACTCTCCCATGGGAGGTCGTGGGCCCCGCAAAGGAGGAGACGTGACCCAGTGGTCTCTGCTGTTGCTGTTGAAAGCAAAAGCTATCCTAAAGCCTACCTTTGTCTGGCTGTCCGGAGCTGTCAGGGTGGTGGGCTGGGTAGGGCTTTGAAAGCTGAAGGTGACCAAAACTGCAGTTATTTAGGGATGCAATTCTTCCCGTAAGTAAAATCTTGCCATTTTTATGGGTCCAAGTTAAAATCACTCCTAAGAAAGCTTGTGAAGAGTAGAAGAGGTGGGGGCTTCAGCCACAGAAGGATCAGCCTCTGCCCCTTTGCGTGGGTGAGCGGTTTTGCGAGCAACTTTGCCTCCCCCGGCGGTGATCTAAATTCATATCTTGAACTTCTTCAGCACGTGCAAAGACGGAAGCGGGTGGGGGACGGCGTCCTATCTTACACTCGAACACAAAAGCTAACTGCTAGCGGCAACTAACGCAGTACGAGGGGAGCAGGACAATCCGGATCTTCCCTTCTTTGCTTTCCCGTTGCCGAGGAGCGCTGCCATTCCCAGCTCAGTGGCGGGATTTGCCGGAGGCGGCAGCTCGCGGGTGGTCACGCATCGCTCCGTGTGCCGGAGGCGGTGGGCATCGCCTCGGGTGGCCGTGTGGGGACACCAGAGGCCTCGCTCTGGGCTCAGGGAGTCGGGGGAGCCTGGGGTAATTAAATTAGGTTGTACTGTACATAGCCCTCGTTAGACAAGTCCCTTCAGGAGACAGAGTAGAATAATAATGACACTTACGATGGGTTCGGAGGTGGCCGGTTTAACGTCGCCCTTTGAGGTCTCTCTTGTCTTCTCGCCCGTAAAGCTTAGCCGTGCCGGGTGGTTCAGCA